ATGTTAACGCAAGGGACGTGGGGACCCACTTTTTTCACTACATAAATCCGAATTAGGTTCATGCATGCCATATGCGTATCTTCACACTGTTTGTTATTCGAGGTCATGGTCCTAGATTTTGTAATGAAAGCGGGAGGTAAAGGTTACTGCATGATGAATGCGCGGAAGCGATACTGGTTAAGCGGGCGACGCGGCGCGCGCGTATCTTCACCGTTGTAACTCCTGCTCCTAATGCGCCCTGCGGCTAATAAAGCCGCGTTTGCGTCCAAAGATATTGCGCCTTCGTCGTGGAGCAGCCTTTATATGGCTACTCTGAAATCCAGGCCCCAAAAGTCAAAGTCGTGGATTTCTTTCAAACTTGGTACATCGGGATTATCTAACATATTGGCCACAAATATCACACTTTTCTCACATAAAAACGCTTTAATGTGTTGTTAAGAAACGATACATAGAACGTGTGTCGAAACCTCTAATTTGCTCATAACTTTTGTCAGGGAGCTTGTTTCAGCATTTATAACAACTATGGTCTCGAATGCGCCTGAAAGAATCTTTTTGTGCGCTTCAAGTGATTGATATACAATAGGTTTGACCAGTCTTGAAGTTTTGATCTAATCGGGGACCATATACACTGTAACATTAGAAAAATCGCGCCTCTTTAGCAAAATCAACACCATATTCGTGTTCACTGTGCTCATTGATCCCTATGGACAAAAAAATAGCCAGCTATATGATTTTGTCACCCATGCAACATGCCTCGCTATTATGTTCATTTTAGAGACTTCTAGCGCGGTTGCGCTCTCTTCAACCCGCCATAGGACACTGTCTCTTCGGACTTCATCGAGGTAAGCCCTCGATTTTGTATGTTTTTGTATGTCTTCCCTGAGTAACTTATGTGAGGGTTTAAGAATAGCTTTATAAATGTAGGGTAAATGATTCAAGTAAGCTTTTTTTTGTTGAAGAGCGCCTCACTGAACATGAGAATGAAAAGTAATGACTTAATGTGGATTTCCATCCTCATTTGTCTTTTGACTTCTTCATCTCTGTTCTGTCTCAATGTTTAAATTTTTTGTTTTCCGTCCAGGAAGAGATTTTGGCAATGTCTGTATGCTATTTACTTGAACAACATTTTTGGAATTTCGACTTAAGAGAAGTATTGTTTAAAACTTTGTATGCGTATCTCTCCATTGTGGACTCATACACTATGACAAACTTTCTCATTACTTTATGACTACACCTTCTCATTTTTCGCTGTCAACTTGCTCTGGCAAAGGAATAACTTAGTGTCGAATTGGCCGTTTTAGATGTGAGGCATAATTTTTTGTGGAGCATTAAATACTTCCTCCAAATTTCTTTTTTTCTTATCTGCGGTGTGCTTATGGGCTGGAGTCATTTTTTGTAGCAAAATTTGAGCGTGTGTTTGAAATGAAATTATTCGTAAAGGTCTCTCATGAGCTCATATGGAAAAGCGGTGACTGTTTAACCACTTTAAACGAAGAACAGCTCTCACTCGCTGCACACATATAAATCTTGTAGTTAAAAACAGGTCTTTCCTTTGGTAAGCTTAGAACTTGTATGTAGAACTGGTCGGATCTGTGTATATATTTGCTGTTCTATACCATGCGGTATTAACAAAGAACTGTTTGATGTGCTTCTACTCCTGTTCTATTTATAATAGTTGAAGCTGCATATACAGAAAAAAATTTGTTGTTGAGTATTTTTAGTCTTTTATGGTGCATCTGTCTCTCAGCTTTCACATATTTTACAGTGTCAGTTATAGGCTGTTGTACTGCACTACCATCAGCGAGGAACCTCTATCAATAAAAAAAAACAATGAGGAGTGACGGGCACAAGAATGGGAGGCCGGAGTCACGCTCATGAAGGTATCTGTCTGTGTTTTATTGCTAACTAGCTGGCAAACCCGGCTCCGCCCGGCCCTGTCATTATTATATTCGTAATCAGCATGCTCGATTACCCCCCTGTGCCAACTCCCAGCAGTACCTTTGTTTCACGTGGTTCTAATAAGACCAGACCAGTTACCATTCCCCAATTTCTGCCGTAAGTGGTTTGTACTCTTCTCATAAGTTGTCCAAAACCAAGTTGTTTGGTTTATTAAGCTGATTAAAGAATTCTCAGTGAAGCATGGAGATCCAAAATCCCTTTGAGGCAAGACAAAAGCACATGTTGAGATTGCAATCCATCTGAGTACCGCCCCCCCCCCCTTTTCCGTTATTCGCTGCTGCGTCAAGCTTCTGGCACATGGTGACATCTAAACCTCTGGTTTGCCTTGTGCGCCCACCTTTCTCATTCCTTTTTATTTAACACCATATGTACACCTATTTGCATATACACTTTGATCTCGATAGTTATAGCGTTACTCTTGGATGTGTTTGCTACTTTATTAGATGAATAAATGATATTAGGTCTAGAAATATTTCTTTTTTTTCAGGCAAAATCTAATTTTAAGTGCTTTTTGGTGTCTAGAGCTGGTTTAAGTAGGTTTAGAGCCTATAATTGGGGCTTTATGGCTCAATTAAGGCTAATTTAATTCTGGAAAACTGCGGAGCAAAAATCTGGAAAAGTTTTGGGTAACAATTGGGATTCCCACTGCAGGAGGCTCCCGGCGTCCTTAAATGATCCCGAGGTCTCAACATCCACTATGCACGCGCATACTTTCAGATCCCAACGCGGGGCGGCTTAAAACGTCGGTTTCGAAGCGCTATAGACTTATCACAAGCAACAATGAGGAGCGTTCTCCCTTTCCCAAGTATTTTTTGAATTTTTGAAGCAATCGTTGGAACATATTTCACTGTTGAAAACAACACGTGCGTTGGCAGAGGCCTGTTTACGCTGGAGCTCAAGGCACGGCGTAGACACTTAGGTTTCAAGAAGCCAGTATTTTACAAACTTTTGCAAAACCACATATGGTGAATTTTTCTCGAAAAAGTAGCAGTTTTACAAAGAGAGTTTCATTTATTTTTCAAACACTCCATACCTTCTCCTAGTACAATCATCAATTTTCTCAGTCCTTTGAAGAACGAAATCACGAGTTTATTGTTTAAGAGCTGATTGAAAATTTATTTTAAGTCATTGATTCTTTAAAAATTTCACATGAAAGCCAAGGAACACTATGTAAACATCGTCAGCGATAGCCGAATGAAGTTTGTTTCATAAAAAAATCAATAAAGGATTTTTTTTAGACTAAGTAATCGTCCGAAAGTATAGGAAACCTTACAGATAACCTAATATGTCTAAATGAAAACTTTTTTTTTCTTGTTACGCAAATTCTATTAAGTAGTCGCAGATCTCCGCGCATTTTGAAGAAACCGTACCGCTGCACAAACTTCTTCATGAGATGGAAGCGGTGATAATGTTGCCATGCTTATGAACTTTACTGCACCGATATCTAAACGCATCTCGTCCGCAACTTTTTGCGCAAGTTTTTGAATTATTGTTTCGTTTAGCTCTCGATTTTCTAAGCTAAGGTTGGTACAGGGTGTCCTAAAAAAATGTACACACTTTTCAAGCTTCAGTAACCCGCTTGCTTCGATTTCTTTTGTCGACTTTTAGTTACCATTCTATGGAGATGGCTTCAATCTAGATCTATAGTGTTAAGCAGATTACAGTACAATTTCTGATTCTTTCGTGTTACTGTAGGATCACGGTAGTAAGTTTCAGCATACTGCGCCATGGTATATTGAACCGTTTGATGAGAAATTTGCAAAAAATAGAAAGTTTTGTATCAGGGAAACCTTGCTGACTTCATTACGCAACTTTTTAAAAGATTTCTAAGTTTTTTTGGAGGTGTAATCATATTTTTGAAAACATTGGAAGGGCAATGTTTTTTTGGTATAACTAGAAGGAAGCATGACCCTGGTGTGCAAATTTTATATCTGAAATCAGCGACTCCTATCAGTTCAGCATGAGAGTTTTTGGCCTCTTTGGTTTTACTTTGAGGCAAAATGGGATTTTTAACGGTTTGAAACACTCTTTAAAGTTCTTAACATCTTCAGTTACGGAAAAATACCATATATTTGTGCTGTACGTCATGGGGTCTCACCCTAAACAAGGAAAAAGGCGTTGGTTTAACAAATGAATATGATCGCGTTCGGCAGGTCAAATAACCTTATTATTTAAAGTCTCGGCGAATTTGAGCTTCGGACTCTTTAGTCATTGATGGTCGCCCCCAGCAGCTTTTGCGTACATCGACTCGTTCGTTTAGTGAGGACGCCAAATCTCGACATGCCCCTGAATTTTATTCCTTCTTTCTAGACCAAAGGAGTCAACCTCCAGCAATAATTTGTAGATGAATCCGGATTACTGCGCATGGTCTAGGCTGCTAAAGGCTTCATTTTAGCTTGAAACCCCAAAAATTCCCAAATTTCACTAGTTTTCGAAAAATGCCTAAAACTTTTCTATTTCGAGTTAAAAATTTAGACAATTTGTGCTCACTTTTTTTTCACATTGCATTCTACATAACGCCAACGTTTGAGTGCGCCATGTTGAATGAGAGTGAAGTTATGAAACCAGTTGCAAAACTTAGTATTCAACCTAATACATATCTCCATTTCATCTTCAAAAAACTACTAGTTTTTTACCCAACAACCTACATACCTTTAGAAAGCCCACGAAAAAGACATTTGACATAGACCGTCTCTTTTTGTCTAGCTTTCCTCTACCTAGAGATACCTGGCATTCTAGCTAAAAACATATGTGTTTTTATCAAGAAATTCCTGCGTGAAGAATGAATGAAGGTGCCTGATTGTCTAACAGTATGAGAAATTAAGAATTTGCAATCAAATTTTCCGTAGATATTGGTATGTTACTCCCCGCAACATCAACTTTTTTATAAACAGACCTTCTCTTAGGACGGCCAAAAGTGTTGCAGTAGTTTGCTGCCTGTGATGTGTCTCGTTTGGTGAAGAGAACTGCTTCTGCTTGTAAAACGAATCTTGCAATGAATGTATTAGATTCAAACACTTTTACAACCAATTTGTGAATAAGTGAATTGAGTTTGCTTGAGTCTAAGCTCAACATATACCGCAATCTTTGCCACAGAATCTCCTCTTGTACTCATAAGGATAGAAGGTATTATTACAGAACCCATTCTTGTTCCATATCGCACATCTAAATTGAATTTGTGAGTACAAAATTGATGTTTTTTTTGACTTGCCTCTGGTGTGCTCCACAAGGGATAGTTGTGTCGGACTCCTTTGAAGCGGAAGTAGGAACTAGAAAAATGCACATACAGGCATGACTTTCGTTGTGGACATTCGAATAACAGAAAATTGGTTTTTATGAGACAAAGCTGATCTTTTCTCGCTTTCGTTGGTATTTTTTCTGGACTGTGTGTTTTCTTGATTTTTGGTAATTTCTCTGAAAACTGAAGGCATTTTTGAACGAACATGAAGTATACAGAATTCCGTTGGTTTAGATGCTGGTGATGCGTAAAGAAGGACTTTAGGCAGCAAAGTGTTGGACCTCTTCATTCGTAGTGAGAAAATCCTATCACAAAGCATTAGGCCTCCCATAGTTCAAGAGCGATTTCATCGCCTCGCGGTTCTTCATGACAACTGCTACGAGTTCATTGTATGCCGATCCTCAAGCATTTCGGTTGTGATAGTTTTCCTGCACGAGTCATCATGACTAACTATCATAACCGAAATGCAAGTTGACTCGCTTGCAATGGACTTGTAATAGTTGTCTTGACGCGAAAATTGCAGGCGATGAAATCGAGTGAACTATGCTCGATGCTTTAAGGTAACATTTTTATCGTCCACATAACTAGCGTTAATCATGTCTTTCATGAGAATTTATCGCTATACATCGTCCACACCCTTCACACTTAAGAACCATCACCATAATCAGCTGCTATGTCCGCCATCGGCAGTTAATAAACTAGAGATTTTCTAGAGCTTAACGCAAAAAAAAAACTCTTTTCATAAACTTCTTGTGAGCGATTCCGTTACAAAACTGATCACTGGAATAGAATTATAGGGTCAGAAAATTTAAGGGGGGGGGGGCAAAATACGAATGGCAGCCGTCTGGTTGCGTATCTTTTCATCGCACGCCTTTTCTATAGAGAGTCCATCCAAATGCAAAGGTGAAACACGGTAAAACACGGTTGCCTTAAGAAGTGTTGCAATGAACTCTGACAAGGGAAGGCTATTTGGTTGAAGTGGCGTTTCCGTACAAGATGTGTACCATCTTAAGAACACAAAACGCTGATTTCAAACCTGCTCTCATTATCTGAAAAGCGATTCTGGGGGGAAACTTATGGAAATTTTATGCGAAAATTTGAAAGCACCGCTACAATAAAATCATCCAAAGTTTAGTCCGTGAGTTCACATGGGGCCATGACCACCACCGGGTGCTTTATGAATGCCTAGAATTTGTAAACTTATGTCAGTCATTACTCCTTTCAAGCACAGGAAAGAACTCAACAATTGTTTTCACTTAGCCAAATCAATGTGCATTTTAGCTCAAAAAATTTTTAGTACTTTCCTTCCGAAAGCGCTTTGCAGATAAAGAAAGCAGATTTGGTATTAGCGTTCCATGCTTTATAAAATGGTACACATTTTATATGGAAACGCCATCGACAAAGTACCCTTCCTTTGTAAGACTGATCACTGACAGTCCATCCCGCTGAGAACTTTACTGAGCGAAGTAGAAAACTGCCAAGCCTCTCCATATTTGGCGCATTTCAATCTTAAAACCGTCCTTGACTTGTACAATAGAAAGGCGAACAAAAGAACTTCAAGAATACAGCTTGGTTTGCCAACTGAACATGCTGTGCAAGTACACAAAGACGATTTTACATAGCTGATTGAAGCTAAACTGGAACAAGCTGATTCGCAAAAAATAGCTGCGTGCTTTCATACAAATGGTTTTATAATGGGTGCAAAAAGCAACTCCTCCTCTTCTAACACTTCAACTACAACAAAGCCTCCCACAGCGTCGATCATCGCATTATCAGTAATGTACTCTAGCAACGCGGTTCAGTATCAACAAATTCCTGTTTAGAGCGAGTTACACTTCTTGTAAAGCGCATGATTTCGGGACATAACGTATTCATGTTTCCTTGCAGCAGCCAGATCAACATCTGTCAGCATATCTCCGTACATACCTTCGATAGTCAAGAGACAGAGGCTAGAAAGTGATAGTTGTTTGAGTTCCTGCCCCCTATAAAAAGTGAAGGTTGTTTCAGAAAGATAGATGGAAATTTAGAGATATGAATTAAACCAGGAAACTTGAAAAATTCGTAGCAGAGGTCAGCACATCACCAAATTTGAAATCTTAACTTGGTGGTTTCCTACGCACAGTTTTGTCATCAGGATTGCCGGTTAAGTTGGGTGGCAACAAGAACAAAGTTCATTTTCAAGTGAAAAAACGCGCTGTTCAGCTGTGGCGGTAGTTGGGAGAGACCGAAAGAAGGAAAACTTGTCAACAAGTGAATTGAACATGTTAAACATGTATGAAAAGTTATGTTGCACATCGACGCCAATCTGATTTTTGATGCGTCCTTTAAATTTTCACCCCCGCATAGTCGTTTCGTATCCTGCGACGTTGTCTGGATTCTTTCGCTCATCATTCTGAGCAAGTATCGTCCAAACTGGAGATAATTCGTTGCAAAAGCACTGAAAGAGAACAAGGTAAAGAAAAACTGCACTTTTTAGTAATTTTCACAAAAAAACCGGCATGAGCAAAGAAGTAGGCTCGGCGACATTGTCTACATTATAGACAGAAACAAAACCTATCGAATACACAAAAAAAACGAGTGAAAAGAGTTAAATTGAAGAAGAAACAAAAGGTTTTTTTCGCCCTTTTTCCCAGATTTCTCGTTTAAATCATAAAAAGGAGTTTTGCGACGTTGTCAGAGTGAAAATAGAGATCAAGAGCTTTAATATGATATATAGATTGTCGAAATTGTGCTCCGAACAACGAAGAAAAGGGTACCAGAGCCAAATGCCCCGCGCCCCGCGTTCGGGGTAGCGAGGTAGCGCGCAGCGCGCGGAGACGCAGACGAGCAGCGGAGACAGATCAAAGCCGACGGGGCATTTGGCTCTGGTAGTAGACCTCCGCTGGATCTTAACGAAACCCTACAACATTATATATCATTCTGATCGTCATGACACGACGAGGAGCACTGACAACGTCGCGGTTTACTCCATAACGCGATAGACCAGCATTTATGTGGCGACTCTCTGCGCAAGATTTGAGCGCAGTTTCTCGTTTTCATTGAACTCCATCGGCTTTCATAAACTTCCAACGCTCAATCGCAGTTTAGAGAAAGGTTGATTGAGAAATTTTGTCCTAGTTTTCAATTGAATTTTCAAATAAAACTTCTTTTCAGCAAAAAAAGGCCCTAAAAACGCAATCCTTCGGTTTTTTGAGCTTCTTTTGAATGTCACTACTATATTTGGTCTCATTCACATTCATTCCTATATGGTTATGTCATTCCTTATGTCATATATCCGGGGCTTCGTCTCAAATGACTTCTGTACTTTCAGGTGAGGGTTGTGTTCTATCATGACGGTCAAAGTGAAGGTTACCAGAGTACATGGCTCTATGTACCGAAGGTATGTCTCCGTATCATGTCATTCAACCACGCTCCAGCTCTGCTTCAAAAAGCTCAAGAGTTGCTGTTTCGCCCTTGAAGAGGAGTATGTTGAAGTCCGATACTTACCAGAACCATTTCAAACAGTGGTAGTCGGTTTTCTAACAATAAGTAATGGTAGTTGAATTAAGCTGTTTGATACTAACCAAGTCCATTTTGAGTAGTGGCAATTGGCTTTTCAGTAGTGGTGTTTGCTGGAGTAGTAGTGTTTGTTATATCACAGTAACCGCATGTTTTCTTGCACTGTTCCTGGAAATATCGTTTGAAGATTAATTTTTCAACTTCTTTCATAACTTTACTTTTTTTGAATATGGCCCATTCAGGCTCTGGCAATGTGTAGATCGTGATGTATGCTACGACTGCGCACAAACCGAGGAATTTCAAACACGAACTGGAAGAATTCCAGACATTTTTCGAGAACTATGATTTTCGAGATTTTTCCGGTCAAAATGAGCAGTCGAAAGTCAAAATGAAGCCGCTGGCAGCCTAGACCATGCACAATAATCTGAAGCTGTGTAGGAATCTGCTAAATTTTACTCCTTCTGGGTGAGAAGGCAATCAGAATTTGAGGCAAGTCGAGATTTGTCGCCCTCATGAAATCGAACGAGCCCCTTTTCTTGTTAAAGGTGAGAAGACCCTATACCGTGAACCTTTGCAAAAAAAACCACCACTATGCAACTTCAGTATCGTTTTCGCAATCAGCATGACGGAGATCAGCATCTGCTAAGTTTCAGTAAAATCGTTATATGTTACAAGTTTCTCCGCTATATCAAATACCTGCCGTAACCTTCACTGCGACTTGAGTAGCGGTATGTATCAATCGCTCGTTCGGGTATTGGTTCCCATTTGAATAGTATCGCTTCATAGCTCGGTGCTCTGGGAATCTGTGTCTTTACTTTTTCGCCCATCTTTTGTAGTTCTACTACCCCTATATTGTAACATAATAAATAGCAGCACTTTGCTATATAAGCTGAGAATTTCGGTATTTTGTATGATTTCGAACGGGATCCTCAGAGATCATGGCTCATTTAGAATCTCGTTGGTATTGTACAAAAACGCGAAAGTCTCAGCTTATACAGCAAGTGCAGCTATTCACTATGCTACAATATTAGGATAGTGGGACCTCCAAAAGGTGGACAAACAAGTAAGGACACAGATCCCTAAAGAACCGAGCTATGAAGCGGATACTACCTGAATGGAAACCCTTGCCCGGTTGGGCGATTGATACATACCGCCCCAGAGTTTGACAGAACAGAAGCTGCCATAGTTACGTCATACCCTACATATCGGCAAAATTTGAGCGCGAAATGTTGAAAGGGAGCTAATTTATCGAAAAAGTTGTAAAACTCGTTTTCAACCTAGTAAATGCATGGTTTATTTAAATTTCTCAAAGTTGAAAAGAGCATGTAACGGTCATGACTTTTTTCTCGGAATTCTAAAAACTCAAACTTTTTGGGTTATTCGTGCAAACAAAGTGACAACAACTTTTTTATTTTAGCGGCACTAAAGCTTAAAAACGTTTTGTAATAGGCGTGATTACTTATCAAGACATCTTTGCCTGTATATGAATAACTAACAGTATTTTCTAGGTGAATAAGAACCGAGGTTCTTACCTAGATTTAACAAATTTTTACGACTTTGAGATTTGTAAATGAAATATCACGCCAAAATCCCCTGCATAAGATGAGTTTCAAAGCGAACAAAATTGCTAAAGAAAAAACCTACTGATAAATTTGTCTTACCCATCGACATGAGCGATCTAGAATCAATGTGTGCTAAACTGGATTTCAAATATTTAGAGATGTCAAAAATTTCATGTTTTGCCAATTTTATACACAACACTTTCGAGTCGCCATGTTGATGGCGGGACGAACGCACCAGCAGGTACATTCTAAAGGGAGTTTCTCGCTTCGGACTCCGTTTTTGACTTGGCGATACTTGGTTAGTATCTCGTTAAAAGCAGCATTAAAATCTCACCACTTTTTGGTGGACGGTGTCTTTGAGTCCATGGCAAATCATCATTTCAGTATCACTTGAGTTTTTTTAATGAAGAAACAGAGATTCAAGCACACTCATTTGTAAGTTATTCCCACCTTCATTATATCTGCAATTTCCACCATTCCGCACAGAGTTTTGTCGCAGTTCTTCGCTACATCCTTGCACCCTAGAATATTACATGAAAGTGGTTTGAAAGGAGAAAGAATCTACGTGAGATTTTCTAATTAGTGCGTAGAAATCTTGAAACTGGTAGAGAAAAGTTGCAGCCTGCCTGATGCCACTGTTCTCATCTAGGTCTAGAAATTGGTACCTGCACCAGTTGTCAATGCGTCGACGATTACATTAAAATACGTCTTCATTCGAAAATGTTTACTGTAACTAGAGAAAGAAAAACAAAGCGTCTGAAATCCTTGTTTATAAAAATCTTGTCTAAGATTGACGGTTAGAACTATTTGTATACTCTGAAGATTTTGCTCATTTTCAGCTGGAATGTGATTAATCTCCCATAGAACGTTCTCTTCCCTTTTTCACAAGAAGTAAGGGTGAGTACAAGTGTTATAATTGCCTGTTTTGACTAATTCAATAACGCGACTTTGTATTATGTTGCCCGGAATTAATGCAAGTTCCTTACGCGCGCGGCGGTGTCAATATAAAATTGTGGAAACCATATCATTTAATAAAGCAAAGAAGTCTCTATAGGAATGCATTAGAACGATCGCAATAAGTCTGATAAATTCAAAAAAATTGGAATATTCAAAAAAAAGATCTCCATCTAAAAAAATTTCTGCGGAACTTCATCCCCATATAAACATTTATATGTGCACTTACCGCGTTTTCTCAATGGCTGGAAAGTGAAAATTCAAGATTGCCCAAAATGAGAAAACATCGCCTTTTTATATATTCATGCTAAATTCAATATTTCTCGGAAACTAGCCTTCGGAGAGAGCTGAAAAACTATGATTGGACTTTTAAATTTTTGTAGTATAGAACTACCTATCTCAGAATGGCTCAGCATTGTGTTCGCTAAGGCATGCCAACATTCATTTTCTCAAATTCTAACCGCGATAAATATTAGGTTGATGCATAATTCCTGCACCAAAATAGGTACAGACCGCAATAACTCGGAATAATCCTATATCCCAAGTAGATTCGATATATCATTTGATAGCGCAAACCTAGCTCTACAAGGTATTGCTCAAATATCTACAGCAGTTTTGATCCACGCGAGGTTTTGAACCAAAAACTGAAAAAAACCATGCGTCCGAAAACCTTGAGACAGATCTTAAAAAAATTTTAACTTCGTTCAAAAAGCTCATACAAATTTTCTTTCTTGCTCACGCATAGACGTTCCACGTAAGACATTTATCCGTGCGGTTGCTGTATTTTTTTCTCAACTAGACGATGAGAAAACGAAGTTTTTTATGTTTTTTCCAAAACAATGCTGAGATGTTCTAGCACTGACAGTTGTATAGTATAGAACCTTAGAAGCGTGAATGTGAATTTTCAGCTCTTTAGAGCAGCTGATTTACGAGAAATATCGAATTTTTAGCAGCTAGGCAAGAAAAATTTGGATAAGGAGAGCTAGATTCGTTATTTCTCGTGAACTAGCTGTTCTAGAAGGCTGAAAATGTAAAGTTTCACTGCTAACGGCATGTACTATACAACTGTTAATACTAGAACATCTCAGCACTAATTTGGCAAAAACATGAAAAACTTCAAAAACCTTCGTGTTTTCATCGCCTAGTTGAGAAAAAAATACAGCAACCGCACAGATAAATGTCTTACGTGGAACGTCTACGCGTGAGCAAGAAAGAAAATTTATATGAGCTTTCTGAACGATTTAAGATTTGTCTTAAGGTTTTCGGACGCATGGTTTTTTTCAGTTTTTGGTTCAAAACTTCGCGTGGATCAAAGCTGGTGTAGATATTTGAGCACTATCTTGTAGAGCTAGGTTTGCGCTATCAAATGATTTATCGAATCCTACTTGGGATATAGGATTATTCCGAGCTATTGCGGTCTGTACCTATTTTGGTGCAGGAGTTATGCATCAACCTAATATATCGCAATTTTACATATTTATGAATGTTTGATGAAGACAGTATATGTCAAACCAGGTTGTAAGTCCGCAAGATCTTCTTGAACGTAGTTTGGAAAATTATTAAGTTTTTCTTTCGAACTCCACGTGGTTTAAACTTTTTGCGATCGTTTTAATGCAAACATGTTGAGGATGCTTTGCCCTATCGAATGATATGTTTCCCACAAATTTAGATTTACAATGCTGCGATCGAGCAAGAACCTACATTAATTTCCGGAAAACCCTATAGCAACTGGCTAACAGTTTTGAAATTATGTCGATCTGGATGCACTTGCTGTTTTTGAATTAGGGTTACGTCAGAGCTAGGGCCTTGCAGCTTCAGTTTTAATTATCAAATTACATAAGTTCGTTCCATGGAGTTCATATCGAATTACATCAGTTGGAAATCTCAATCGTGCTTTGAAAAAAGTCAAGAATTTACCTGGAATCTCTTCTTCGCACAGTCCACACGTTTTTGGACACTTATAAGCCAAATCAAGAATCTTCACCCACTCTTGGTCCTTGCATTGATTTTTCCACTGGGCGCATCCAATGCCTGATGTGTATCATTATTCTTATATTTTACGTATAACATTTTTACTTCTAACAAGGGGAGGACACGAAGTCGAAATCGACTTCTCGTATGAATTACATCAATCTGAGGAGCATCAAATGCTATTCCAAAGCTGTCTTTGCTATTTGCCAAGCGCCATTAGAAGAGTTATGAGCGGTTTTTGGCTTAAAAAATTGAACGTGCAACTGGTACAAATTCGTCAAAGTTTGCAAATGGCCCAGCACTGAGTAACAAACCACTCCATGCATGATAAACCCTTTGTCTAATATACTCATATTCAACACTTCTTTATTTGAGTGCTGGAAAGACTATAACCATTAAGTTTACCAAGATTTTGCTGTCATTTTTTCTCTCCAAAACATTCATAACTCAGCGTCAAGAGGAGCTTGGTTGTATATTCCATTTGGTAAACCTGCTTCGACTTTGGATCTTCTACTGGTAAGATCGTATATATTCAAGAACCTGTAAGTCTGAGTACTTCTTGTAGGGCGTGTGAAGGTGTGCGCACGGTGAATACCTTGCTCACTACAGCACTGATAGTCTAGCTAGTCTCGTTGAATACTGGCTATCTGATGACTGTTTTTCTTCTGTAAAGACCCCTTCCCTGCATTGAGACCCTCCCCCCCCCCCCCAAAAAAAAACTTCTGACGAGTCGCGTCAAACTAAATAACCTTTACAATCTAATGAAAGCTGTTGGCAGAAAATTGTAAGGGATGCTTTGGCGGTGCACTATGTTCTAATTTACCTCCTTGTGTTTGGCCTACTTGATTTAAAGCTTGGGCATACGCGCAATTTTTTTACAGGGGAATAAAGCTACAATCAAAGAAAAATCTATGCTGTTACACTTACTTCTGTCTTCACAGTCATAAATGGGTGACTTGCAGCATACGGCACATGTCTTTGCACAGTTTTCCAGAGCCACTTTGAGAATATTCTTGTCAACATTTGAAGTCGCTGAAGGCGCTGAATCAGTTTGTAAATGACGTTTGTAGGAGCTGAAGTATTACATAGTTAGAAGATAAAAGTAGATACTCCTATTTATTATGATTTCAAAGGCCTTAAAGGCATGTCATTCAAGTAATTCATATAGAAATAAAGCAATAATCTCGAAGCATACTCGAATACTTTAGCGAAATACACAACGAGAAGGTCCTAAGCACTGCTGCTGCAGTATGTGAGCTTACTCTACATCGTGTGGCACTAGAGCAATTAATACTTAACAAAATTATTTCAAAGGTTTTTGTCAGTTTCAGTGTCAGAGTTCTCACTTTGAAGTTTCTGTGGAACTTTTATATATCTTTGAAACTTTGTATTGATAGAGTTTTTCATGTCGACTGACTCAAAAATTTTGACGTACCGTCCAACAATTAGCAGCCCTGTCAGTATCATCTCCAGGCCTGAGCCCGCCTGGTGGGTACAATGCTTTGCAACTTGCTTCTGGCAGTTTGTCCTGGCAAGCGAACGCCTTTTCTTTATACTGAAATACCGATGTATCAACTGACTACCGTAGGGATCCCATAGCTGATGACTCCTTTGCTTCTGCATAATTTTTAATAGACATCTTGAACTGCATGCTACGTGCCACGCCTTGAGATGGGTTGGATGACAAGCAGCATGGTGCGACGTGTTCAGAAGTGGTCCTTCCATTTTGCAAAGGATTAATTACCCTAATACAAGTGAGAGCGCGGGGAGATTTTTCTCTAAAATCGAACAGCACAGACAAGCCGGAGAACTTCGCGACCAAAAAACTATGAACAGTGCTGCATACTGCCTGATAGGGCTCGGCACGAGGGGATTCCCGTGCAAAAAACGAAATCCCCTTTGACTCCATAATGAAAGTACGATGTCCTTCATGAGATTTTAAAGAGAAAACACATGAAAAGGAACGGAACCAAGCAAAACAAAAAAACGCTAAAGAAGCGTTAATCAAACGCGATACCATTCGTATTCTCCGGATTGGCGGCATAATGTATCCAGATCGCAACACTACGCGCCGGAAGCAGCGTTGCCGCTGCCATTCAAAATTTTCAAAAGACTATAGCTAAGCGAGGAGGAGGGGGTTTGAGGCGGTTTAGGAACCAATTTATAAGGTTTGGGACGTTAATGAAATTTATGTAAAGAAAGCAGAAAAATTGTGTGATGGAGGGCATATTTACGACTTTTCTTTCCCAAGCCACCACAGGTGCTTCCACGTGGCTTGAAAGCCACCTAACTCCGAGAAGAAGTTGAGCACGCCTATAGTTCACATAATTATTTCTCAATTTTTCATACTTAGTCTTGACTCCCCATTGCCCATCTACACGCCTATTTTAATGTCATTTTATCTTCATTTCGCTGTAAACAAACCTCTTGTTTGTTTGGGACAGAGATCAAAAGACAGCGGTATGCTCTTCCGCAAAAATAATATCCCCTTTGCCTTTCCCCCGAAAACGATATCCAGCTTGCTTGTTAAGCCACCCGTGCTTGCCTTGTTGCCTAAGGGTATCATTCGGCATAAGTCTCGTTTTCCAAAGTAGAGCGAGAGGGCTGAGCAGATCGCTTGAAATCGAAAAAGGTGCGTCCTATACTCGTGAAATGAGAGTACACCGTGATTCTAGGAGCAGAAACGATTTGCATGAAGAAAACAGCTGTAAAACCGTTTCCAACTTTTGCATTTGTATCTTTTGAAATACCGTTGTTCAATATAGGTTGATGTGCTTTGCAACTGATGAATCATGAAAGTGTTTTGTTTCCAACAATTTTCGTATTCTAAAGTTGTCTTCGTAGCATGCAATCCTTCGAAAGCGAAGCAAATGACTCGTATTTGGATAACATAGGCTATCGAGAATATGATAAGCAATATGATGCTCAAAATACATACCTTTTTATTCTTGTCCAAGCATACTTCGTATGTGACTGCACCGTGGACTGCAAAGCACATGGAAACAATGACAACTACTTGAAGCATCTCCATTGGACACTCCACAAATTACACCAGCGCTTGTCTTAATTCGATAATCAAATGATTATTGCTTATGGGAGAAAGAAAGAGAAACGTGATGATCGCTCGTTTTGCAAAACATTCTCTGTATGCTCTGCCTTTTATTCAGAAAATAAATCCAAAATTCTTCTATACGTAGCTTATTGCACAAAGTTTTTCGATTGTGAGGTTGTCTCCCTCTTGTGCGTATCGCAAATTTGCTGTAACGTCGTTCGGCTTCTAATATTTAAGAACTGGTTTGAGGATACAGTATTTCTTCTTAGCAAAGTGTATCAAGACAAGCAGGAAGTTACAACATACGAAACCAAGAGTCTCAACTGCAATGAGAATGCATACATAAGCTGAATATGGGACTATGATTTCCAAGTATAGTGTTCCACTGAACTCGCTAGAATTTTTTATCTTCACATTTTTGCTTCAATAAAGGCGTTTGTGGTTCTGTTACCTTCATCTCCTAATGAGATACCGTAGGAAAAATGGCCCTCTATTGCGTCTCTCTTTTATGAAAAATAAAATAAAAAGTCCTTATGTGTCTTCGTCTGCATTTTCACATAAAGATCACAAGAAATTCGCGTCTAAATTTCAGATAACGACTATAAGCTTTAACTCAAGGTTATTAGGTGGCCATTGAATGCCTTTGTGTAGTTGTTAAAAGCTATCCATGTATTTTTTCTTCTCTTACGTTCATCCCATGCTAATACGAATTCCTTACAAGTCGCTTCCTTCAGATTTATCTTTGTTCTATGTCAGTGCGTTACTCGGAGAGCAAAAACTTTTATGAACGGCTGAGCAGAGCCGAGTTATGTCATTCAGTTTATCTACGCGTACTTTTGAAATTATTTGTTGTGTAATTTTACTTTGTAAAAAGGTGCAGAAGAAATATTCTGCACAAAAAATACTCTGCTGAGCATAACTGCAAAACTTGCGCTAATGGTGGCACACCTTGGACTCTAGCAAAAATAGTTGGACATGGGCATCCAAAAAGTTATAGCAATTTGTCTCGCAGAATCGCCGATTATGCGAAACTGCCAAACGCATGAATATCAAACTATTTCCAATCAAATGTAAGAATTTTGAAGAAATTCACTTTTTCATATTCAAGCACAGGTCGGAAATCTGCAACCTTTGAAATCTTGAACATCAAAAGGGAATTCGTAGAAGAACGAAATATACACCTGTGTTGGGCTCAGTGGGTGCTTTGTTGCTTCTTTTTGCATAACGAGTCTCACGAATTCTAGTTGAGCACAAACACCCATTATTTATTCTATTTTTGCTCAGAGTTTTGCAAACTTATACAGGAGATATTGCTAGTGCATATCAAGTTTCTCACACACCTAGACCAAATAAAAGAATCTGTGTTCAAGCTTCTACTCTCATTTGAGAGCGTTGCGATAGAAGGAAGAGAAGTATGATAGTGTATGTTTCCAGTACAGAGTGCTCGTTGAAAGGAAAGCACTTATCTTTTTGCATTTCATCTAAATTTTCCAGAGAAAAATCGTGATATATATAGGTACATATCCGAGTGATAATCCATACTCTGTTAAAACATATTTCATTGCAAAGCGTGGCTATTTCTATCAGCTTGAGCAATTGAGATTCTTTTCCAATGAACGTAGCCGCTGCGGTTACTCATCAATCTCATATCTTAAGCGTAATCTTCTCAAAAAATGGTTTGCAAATGGCATTGTGAAATATTTAGAAAGATACGGTATAAGACCTGAGCAGGCTCGAAAGGCACTAGTTTTAATATTGGACCCATGCAACGGTGAGCGTTTAAAACCGTAACTTATTTTCTTCCTTCTTTTCCCTTTTTTCTCAGTCATTTATATCATCAAAACGATTACCTTTGACCTCTTTAAACAGCTCAAACCTTTAACCGCTCAATCAAGGATTCGCGATTCAAGCGAGTACAAGGATCAGTACGAGAATCTTAATATGTGTGAACAGTTGACTACTCAATGTTTTCATCTGGAACTATTATAATACGGAGCTCATACAAAAGCGGGTGGTTTAGTCGAGTTTTTGATTACCATTGCTCTTCCCAATCTTGGCTAGTATGTATCTCTCGTTGAAGTATTGTGAGATAAGAGGATGGCATTGATTACATGATCATAAAAAATTTGATTATGCTTTCTTTAGAGAGTTGACAGATTCATAAAGAGCCTTATGAAGCATAATAATGAATCTACAAAATTACAATGCTAAATCTCTCCAAATGGCACTTTTAAGTAGGCTCTCAAAGTTGGCTAGCAGATTTTAGGGCCCATACATTAACATCCGTGATGGGAAGAGAAGCACACCAGAAACTTTGGACCCTGATGACCCAGCAATCTTATCAGTCTTATATCTTATTAGCCTCATATTAGGATTTATCTTACAAGTCCTCTTCGGTGTATCTATTGTCCTCTACTATAATTGCACTGAACAAAACCACGAGCGCTTTCCAATGTTAACCTGGGTAGACCGGTGATTCATTCAAAAATCTTATTGCTTCCTACATAATTTGTTTCCAAACATGCTTAGAACTTTTGTGTTAGATCATAAGCACAACGCGCAAATGACCCCGAAGATAAGGCAGTCGGCCGCTGAGGATCATCGGGAATCTTGCAAAGTGCTGGAAATCTTGTCCTAGGGATGCATTTGTGGCATCCGATGTGTTCAGGCATGATGAAGTGTGAAGTCGCTCTATTGAAAAGTTGTCAGATTCTGTCACATAAAAGCAAAAAGTTTCTGGTACTGACTAGATTGCTATGAACAGTGGAGAAGTCCTAAAAAAAGAGATGATCACAAAGCACTCCTAAACGCAAATTTGACTTTCTCTGTCTTTGAGACCATCTTTTATAGAGAGATATTACCAAAAGCCTTTACTCATCAAATCTCAGACAGCTTTGTTTATATGCAGAATAATGCTTTGTAAGACGACATACCCCGCGATTATGTAATTTTAGACTAAAACTTCAGCATCCATGTATGTCCGGTCAGGGTGAAAAGTGGTAATTAAGGGTTTTCTAACGTGCTATCCGCGAATATTAGCAGCTCTGTTTTCATTTAGTTTTTTCAGTAGGTGTTCATTGTGAATTTGGAAAGACTGGAAAACAAACAAAAAAATTTGCTTCAATTATGAAGACTGACTGAATCCGACTATCAAACTATTGCATTTCAACATTTTTTAATTCAATAAACAAAAAGAATCAATACTCTAAAACTGAAAATGACTCCGGACTGATCAGCTATGCATAAGGTGCTAACTAGTGTTGCTGACAACTCATGATACCAAAAATACACTGCGGCAAGTCTTAGGCAGGTAAGTTCCCTCACTAAGGGGATGTGCACAAACACACAAACAGCTTCCGATTCATCAAGTTTTCCTGGATAAAATCTCATAATTCAACTTTTCTAAAGGACCCAAGGTGTACCCGAAATTTTCGAAAGTTGCTAAACCGAAGCGGTGAATGCTCGTTTGGTTTGTAAAATTGTTGCCAAACCATAATCCATTTTTGTAAGTTTCAAATCCGAAGATTTATTGGTGTTTGATGCATTCGTGTCTGAGGCGAGAATGCAAAAATTTTGTGGTTCCATCAAAAAATCTATATAAAAATTAAGACGAGTCTGGAAAGTAGAAAAAAGTTGTGCTGTTTCCTGTAGGGTTTGCTCCATCCATCCATTACTTGGACTCCTTCTGAAGTTTGTTATAAAATTTTAGAAAAATTGTGAAAGTTGGCCATCTCAAAAAGCATAGGTCGCAGATTTTGACTTTTTTCTGGAAGCTCATTGAGTTTATGGCAACAACTCCATAATCATTAGAAAGGGAATAAAATGCTGCATCAAATGCTACCAGAATCTCTTACACACCTTTGTTCCATGAGATGTGGCATACGTTTGAAGAAAGCGACATTATTTTCGGAACGACCTAATATACAGGGTGTCCGTAAAGTATGTATACACTGTTTGATCGTTAAGATCTTTCCTCCCAACAAGTCTTTTGCCTTGATTTAGGTACCATTTTGTAAAGCTGGCTTCAACTTAGATTTGCAGCATAGAACGAATCACCCATCTTTTTTCATTACTGTAGGATTACGGTAAAAACTTGAAACATATGGTGTCAATGCGGAAAAAGCTGCCGTTTCAAAATTTTTCAAAAAATTGTGAAGACTTGTGTAATAGGGTTTTTATGGACGCTGAGTTAATACTCAACTATTTACAAGATTGCGAAACTTTCTAAACGGTGTAACCGCACTTTTAAAAGACATTGAAAAAACTTTACATCTTACCTCGCACAACTCTTCAGTGAAGCATCATAATAAGTTGATAACTTTACAGTTATAGTCACCAACTCTGATTAGCCTAGTGTAAAAGCTTTCAGGCTGTTTTTTATTTCCTTTCTGAGACAAAAGATGGCCTTTCATTGCCTAAAACCCTCTTTGAAGTTTCAACCGTAATCCTACAGTAATGAAGAGAAATGAGTGATTCATTCTATAATGCAAATCTAAGTTGAAGCCAGCTCTACAGATTGGTGCCTGAAGCAAAAGAAAAGACCTCTTTAGAAGAAAGATATTAACGATCAAACGTTCGATACATCTTTTCGGGACACCCTGTATATTAGGTTGAACCGAAAGTTCGTTCGCACCATTTTCAAAAAATCATAACTTCTTTGCATCATAACCTTTTTGAGCAATTTAAAGTTTATTAGAAAGCGTAAAGCATGTAGTTTCCAATAGTTTGCTAGTGACTTTCCAACGTGCTCAGATTGCAGAGATAACAATGAAAGAACGAAAACATCCGAAATTCGGAATTTTTGAGCAAAAATTCTAAAAATCTATAAAACGCGCGATAAAATCCAGAAAAGCAATTATCCTGATTTCTCTTATATTTGATTACTAACTGAGTTAAGTTTGGGTTGATCGAGCTCTTTTTCCAAAAGTTATAATTTTTTGAAATAAAATGCCGAAAAATCAATTTCTTAGGAATTCTTTGGAAATTGATTTTTCGGCCTTTTTTTCAAAAAA